TATATACAGATTATGAATTTAATTTAGGCGCGAAAATCTGCATTAGCTCTGCAAGATCGGTCTTTGTACCTGGAGTGGATCGAGCAGCTCGATTGGCTCTAGAAATGTTAATACCGAACGCAGATGAGATGACATGTAGCAGAAAGATGCGAATTGCCGAACGATTTTTGAAGTAAAAGAGCAAACGGACGCCTCCGATTTGCAATGCATCTATTCTCTACTTTACAAATACAAATTTGTGTTTGTAAAGCAGAGAATTTATTTTTAAAACAATTTGTTTGCCAAACAGAGAATTTGTTCATACATGTCGCTGCATCTCATCGATATGATAGATTTCCTAGCCTCGTCAACTTTAATGCTTAATCTCTCGGTTCGCCGTCCTAACATTTTTTTTTATAGATTCTTTCGTTTTGTGTAAAAATGCATCGAATGAGCCTAATTTCATCAAAATCAGAAGTGATGACCGTATTCTAAATAATTATTATATAATAATATAATAGCTCAATAATTTAAAAACAAGTTAAAAAAAAAGGACTATCAGAAATTTGACCTATAAAATTGGAAATTAGATAAATGAAAAAAATGTCTTAATAAATTAATTATGAAATTTAATAATATGTCGGCTAACAACACAAACGTTTCGATCGGATCATTATCAATATTTACAAAATATGTCTAAACGATAAAAAACATAATATAAAATCGATCGAAAATTGAAAATATATTTTGCATAACTATACAATTGTTGGTATCAATAAATTAAAAAGGATCTTTATCTTGTTAGTTAAACTGAACAGTTAGTTAAACTAACATACATAAAATACATACATTAGAATTTGCCAGAAAAGTAAAAATTTATACTATAGACGGTCGATGGCAAATGAAAATATACTTCGCAAGACATCTAACTATTGGTATCAATAATTAAAGAATCTTCGTTTTGTTAGTAAAATTGTACAGCAAAAGAACGTCGGTGTATGATTATATATTAATATCCAGAACGTAATATACAGCATTACAGCTATAAATATAATAATGTAAATTATAAGAATGACAGAAAAATATAATATGATGGGACAATAATGATATAAATTAAAAATGTACAATGTAAATTTATCTATTCAATTAAAATAATTAAATACTCTTTAAAATTAAATAAGAAAAATATTTTTCATAATTGTAGTTGAAAGTTTAGTCCAAAAAAATTAAATAATATGAATAAAATGCAATAGACAATACGATAAGAGAAAGATCGATGTCTCTTATCTTTGACGTAGTTTAGACAAAATAAATTTAAAATTTTTTTCTTTCAGAGAAGGAAAGTAAAGTTAATGTTAGAAAATAGTGGGAAGTGAGATTAAAGAGGGGGAGATAGGTAGAAGAAACATAAGAGGGGGAGATATATAGAGAGGAAAAAAAGATAATTATGAGGAAGAAAGAAGATTGTATGATTTGTGAGTAGGATTCTGGTAATGATTCAGTATTATTTTGTTTATTTGAACCTTGTTTTTGTCTTTTAATATGAATCATTTCAGATACCAAGCTTTTGATATAAAAAGACTCACTGTCTAAAAATCTTCACATCATTCCATCTGAAATTATGATTAAAATTAACGCAATGATCAGATATAACAGATGGAAAATCTGTCTTTTTATTGATATATCCGAAATATGTTCACGCAATCTAATATTTAGTTTTCTCTTTTTTTTTTTTTTGACAAAATAGCTGGCGTCACAATCATCACATCAGATCTTATATACAACATTTTGATTCAAAAGTAATTCCAACTTATCTTTATCCTTATCTTTCTTAATAAAATTTTTTTAAGATATTGATGATAGTGAAAGCTAGTTTATAATGAAACATGTTAGAGATAGATAGAAAATTTTCTGAAATGGAATGTACAATAGGGAATTGTAAAATATTTTTCTTTAATTTGTAAATTATGTGTAGTATTTTTATCGATATAGGAGTTTACGTGTTAAAAGTTAAAACATTGAAAGTGAATATCTCCATTTTGACATCGCTAGGATCTTTGAAATTTTAACACATACATAAAATTATTTTAAACATGATATTCAAATTTAAAAAAAAACTGTAGAAATTCAATTTCTCGGAGAAATACCCAGGGCTGCGTTGGATTCCCATCTGCTCTCCGGATGTGATATTATCCTTATTGTTTGTACCGAACGTTAAACAAAGACATGACACCCGAAAAGCACCCAGGTGGGAATCCGAACGCAGCTTACATTCGTTTACGCAATAACTAGCGCATCCACTGCTTTCTCATCTGCTAGCCACCTAAATCTGTTAGTAACCTAAATTTACCGAACGAACTTCTGCATAAATAGCTGAAAACTGTTTACAGTGTATTAGCTTCTGCATACTGGACGCAGAAACGTTTACTGCGCGGCAAAATGTGATGCGGTAACCAATAAACTTACAGTTCCTAATATTTATTGGTTACTGCGTCTCATTTTGTCGCGCGGCAAACGTTTCCGTGTCCAATGTGCAAGAGCCATAAGTGGCTCTGCACAATAAAAGGGACAAGAAATAAAAAACAGAGAATAAGAATTTCAATCTATCAGAAACTGAAATATTCTACAATATATGATTTCTGATAGGTTGAAATTCTTATTCTCTGTTCTCTGTTCCCTGTTTCTTTTATTGTGCGGAGCCCCTATATAAAGAGAATGGGAAAGTCGAAAATCCATCGAAGCTTTATGAATAATTAAAATGTAATATTTTTAGATT